CCAGCGCTTAAACACACACACTGAACATACACAGGAAGCCAGTGTCATTGAGACCAGATTTTAAAACACACACATATACAGTATCTCCTTCATGTAGCCTTCATGTCTTGCAGCATTACCCATAATCCTCCTTAGGAGTCAATTTTACTCCATTTCACTTTAATCTCATAACTCTCTGGTGCACTTAGTTATGGGAACACATTAATAGCTGAGATACGTAGCACTGTAGGGGGTATTGAAAGGGACAAATAAGGACAAACATGCATTGCCAATCTTAGGCTATGTTCACAGTAAAGGGCTTAATGCTCTACTCCGACCAGAACTGATCTTTCTGCCTGGACCTGAAGTGACCCATATCTGACATCAGTATGAATGGATCTCTGCCCTGAAACGTCTCACATGCAACCAATAACGTCACCCAAAATGCATCGGAACAACACCAAAAAATGTCACATTTGTGACAGCAGAGCAAGCTTCATCTCCCGAATGATCGCCATGGTAGGTCCCATGTTATTATCCTGCATAACAATTAGTCATGTGCCTCTGTTTGGGAGAGTGTGTAGCATTTTGCAGAAAAATGGTCACAGGTCAACAGGTTGTCATAAAAATGGGCTTACAGGCCACTAGCTTTATTAGCAGCTGTTGTTGGTAGTTCTGTGGAGAGGGATTGGGTGCAGCTTTGAGATGACTCAGGAGTGGTGGAGCTGAAAAGTGGAGGTTTTCACGGAGGAACAGTTCCTCCAAACCTTATGATGTACAGACCTACAGTTCAATATTTCTCATAACAACACAGTCACGGCATGTAGGCAAGCTGCCCCGTCAGAAAAAGTCTAGCAGTCAGGCTATATTGGCTGGTGGCGGCCTTCTGTAGTTTCACTGGACTACTCTGACACTGTATGTTGAGCGATCTGCACCTGTACAGTATGACGCAGAAAAAACATGGATGTATGGAAAAAACGTGAATTTTAATATGATCTTTCTGTGAGTGGTCGTGTGGCTGGTGATCAGTTATCGGATTTAGGGCCAAATATCAATGTGGCCCAGACAATCAGACTTCTGTATCCACACTACTCTGAAAAGATCAGATCTCTGCCACATGAGAGCAAATACAATTGTGCACTTAACCTTAAACACTCTTTAAAACAAACTAATCTGCTTCTGTAGTGCTGTTTCTTTGGTATTTAACCTTGCCAGAGCTGATAGCGTTCTCAGTGTATTGATTTTCAAAGCTCATAAATCCCAATGCATTTACATGCACAAACATGCTGGGAAAAACGCTGCATGCATCCAACCTGCAATGCAAAGCACCAGTCATTTTCTGAATCCTTTGCTGAATTTAAAAACTTGGATCAATAATACATCGGCTGCTTCTGTATTGAATGTCACTCTGTGTATCCTCATCATCAAATGTCAGTCACTGTTTATTGGCAGCGTATGCCGCCTGAGACACGACACGCTTGTAATGAGCTTATCCTCTAGATTGAACAGCTGTTTGACATTGAGTGTGTTTGGTTTCACTGTGACTTAATGGGGAACATGATGCTGTTGGGAGTGGAGCTTGGATGTGCAGTGTTGTAATTTCTAATTGACATGCAGCTAAAGAGCAGAAACTACGTCTAAGCCAGTTTGATGGATTACACTGCGTGCCCCAACAACAATACTCAAGTGCAACAAATGACTCAGACGGCTTAATGAAGGGTCTCTCAACTGTGATTTCCAGCTCTCTCTTTTTCCTCTTTGAAACAATATAAATCAGCCTTCTGTGCAGACCACACACACGCCCGCCTGCTGTGTCAGTGTCATGTTGTGGTAGAGAGTAGTGCAGTCTGTATAAACAGTGTGCGTTCTGGATGAGAAAAGATGAAGACAAGTGCAGGACAAACACAAGTCAAGAATAAGCTGAAGATCTTCACGCATTGCAAAAAAAGCACAGGAGCAGAAAGGAATTCTTGGAATGTTGTTCTCCGGAGCAGGTGCTAAAGCTGCAGACTGACATCTCCGCCCCCCCTCAGATGTGGCCTTTTTCTCTGAAGCAGAAACAGGCCGAGTCCTGATCTTCTTAAATAAACTAGCTGAGCAGGTTGCTTAACTGTTTACATGTTTTTCCTCCAACTCTGCACAGCATCTGTGCTATGATGTGTAACATCAGCTGTCAGTGTGTTTTCATAGAGTTAAAGAGTTAAAGATGAGGGTGGGGTTGAGATTGTGTGATGAGATCATCACCTCCCAGGGTTTCGAGGTCACGGTAGACATGTTCTAGCACATGCAGGGCGTGACGCTGATCCTTGGCTAGATTGTCTCCAATAATCTCCAGCTGATTCTGAGGGCTGGAGATGAATAGAAAAATAAGTTCATATTTATTTGTTTATAGAGCACTTCAGGAAGACTCCTAAAACCAGGAAATGAGTTAGCATTTTAGCCCTCATCTCAAAGTCATTGGGTTTTTGGATAGATGTCCGAAGTAAGGTCTGTGGTTCACTCAAGCTTGAGAGACCTTCATGTTTTGTTCTGTGACATATAATACATCGGTAAATATGCCACTCAGGAATCTTTAAGCCTTTAGGTGTCTTAGAAAAAGGCAGTTGCTAACAAATGACTAAAGACACAAAAGAACGTCATCACAATGAACACAGCTTTACAGCCTCGTTGTGGTGGCAGTGTTAATGTCATGCAACTGTAGTGTAGATTGTTTGTAGCCTAACGTTAAGTTTTTACTTCTAGCGATTGCATTTACATTTCAAAATTCATAAAAGTGGTGTTCATCTCTGAAGATTAGCTCACTGAACAAAACCTGTAAGTGTCAAAACATCTGTTTGCCACAGAGCTTATTTTCTGCAATATTCCAAAATTCACTGGAAAAATCCTGTTGGCTTTGTGTTGAACTTCCAGGTTGGCCTACAAAAAAGTGGCAGCCCTACACCTCTTTATCCTGTTTGATTTTCTCCGACAGCATTCTGTTTCAGCTTTATGTGCTTTTTTGGTGTGTGTATAGGTACATGTTGCAATCAGAAGTACAATTTGACAGAGTAGGTTAATCACAGCCTCTGTGGCGCAAATGTAGAGTCGCCATAACAACTGACCCTGTCAGGTGTGTGTGTGTGTGTGTGTGAGAGAGAGAGAGAGAGAGAGAGAGAGAGAAAGAAATTGTGTACAATATGCAAATGCAGTCTGTATGTAAGACTGTGGTAGATATTTATCAAGTGAAATATCTTGTTTTTATTAACAAAAAAAAACAAAACTTTTATGATTGTGGAATTATTCCATTAGAAAAACCATGTCAGGATGTTTTTGTAGAATTGGTCCAAAGGATTTGTAATGTCTTAAGAAACTGTGGGGGTGAATTAAGGGTGTAACGATCCATCAATCTGGTTTGTTACATCGAATCAATGATCAACAATCAAATATCATCGATGCAAAGTGAAAACATTGATCCATAATGTCATCTTTAGGATACGCTTCTATTTTGAAAGTCTGCCTCACCATCAAACAGCGGCAGGCAGATGGCAAGGAGCCAAGGGAAAGATGACAAGGATAACTTTATTTACTTGGGAATAAATCAGCAGTGTGGAAATAATGCTGAACATAACCAATGCCGTTATAAGATAAAACACGATGTAACATTACCTGCCTGGACGGGCATTTCATTCTGCTAACATCTCACTACAGCAACATTAGCTGTTCTGTTTCAACAGTGTTAGGCTGAATAAATGTGGATGCAGGCTGAAATTCAAACCTGCTGCTCTGTCGGGAGATGCAGTGACTTAAACCAACGGAGAGTAAATGATACACGTAATTTGTTAAGATATAAATGGAGTTAAGTCTGCTAGCCGCTAGGCTAATTTACGCAATGTAAACATGCTTGGTAAATATTGTATCATTGTCCAAAGAATCGATATGGTATCGTATCGTGATGAAACCAGTGATTTACAACCCTAGTGTGAATGCTGCTTGCTGAATAGCTGATGTTACACTGCAGAACTGACTTTAAACATTGAATAATAGCATTCATGTATGAATGATGTGGAATATTGTGTGTGTGTGTGTGTGTGTGTGTGTGTGTGTCTGTGTGTCTGTGTGTCTGTGTGTGTCTGTGTGTCTGTGTCTGTGTCTGTGCGTGTGTGTCTTGCATGCTAATGGAAGAAGACCCCTAGGGGAAGGATGGTCAAGGCTTTTGCCAACCCAAACCACCTTACACACACACACACACACACACACACACACAGCCTGCTGAGGGCCTTCCAGTCCCATTTAATTTAATTATCTTTATATTTTCTGTTGATCAGAGAAAAAGAAACACAAATAAATTAATACTTAAATTTGGAGTGCTTTATTGCATAATTGTTCATGTTGTTTATTCAGTGTAAAGTTGCTGGTAACCAGTGTATAAAACCTTTAGTGTTGCTGCTGCCTCTTTTAACAGCTCACCTTATGGATACTTAAGGAGTGTCCTCTGTCTCTGCATGATGTCATTCATTGATTTTGTAGCTCAGGCCGTGGCCACTAATCTTCCAGAGTGATGCCTTTGTCGATCTAGTCATTAGGATTAATGTTTGAGTCTGTGAGTCTGTGATGTGTGGTGACTGATTGCTGCTTGATTTTCAGTGGGGGTAAAATACAGATACTGTAAATGCTTAGACAGCCTGGTAGTTGTTTGAACACAATATACTTTCACACTGTCAGTTTGGTACTTTTACTTTCCTCTTTCAACCGTGCTTTCATCTCTGACTCCCTTTTGTTCCCTTTGCATCATTTGTCAGCTTTTTTAAGATGTCACAGAGATGGTTATTTGTTACTAGGCACTGTGACATTGTGGCGTACCACTAATCCAAGAGTCTCTCCCAAACAAGAGTTTGAATCTTGTCCTGACTGTGACTGTAATGGTTTTCAGCTTAACGTGTGGTTCCTCTTCGCAGAAACGGCACTCTGTCTGGTTTGCACAAACTCTGGCATAACTGAGGAGCAGATCTGATTAATCGTGTGGCTTTGTGTTCTCTCTGCAGGGCTGGCATTGATGATGTGGAGACAGACGTGGTGGAGATTGAAGCAAAGCTCGACAAGGTATAAACAACACAAATTTATGTTATATCTATAGACTATGCTGCTCATTACAATGTCAGATTTGAGCGATATACACTGCATGTGTATGTTGCTTTAAGCTGGTGTTAAATTGTGGTTAAAACAAAAACATTTTGCACATTGTCAGAACACTTAAAGAGGATGTTCTGGGTTTGATTCACAGCAAATGAAAAATGAGACCAGATGTCGGATGTTGATGTCTATAAACAGTATTTTCTTTAGACAAACTAGAGCCCTTTGTGTGTGTGTGTGTGTGTGTGTGTGTCTGTCTGTCTGTCTGTCTGTTATGCTCTCTGTAATTGTGTTTTTTTTTTAATCTGCCTGTCTTTCTCCTGCTCTCTTATCTAAATGTCAAGGCTATTTAAACCAGGAAACACTGCAGACTTGAGTTATTACATTTAATAGGCTCATGCGCTGCCAAATAACACACATTTACACACACACACACACACGGGTTGGAGCTGGTGCACGATGAGCGCACAAAGCAAACACTGATTAATGTCACAGGGACAGGTTTATATTCTGTAGTATGAAAGCAGAGCAGGCCTCTGTTATCTGAGCATGTAATGTCTTTGTTTGTCCTTTTTAACCAGAGAAAATGCTACAAGCAATTTAACAGCAGCTCATCATAAATGCTGTTTGTGAGATATGAAATTAAGCTATTTAAGCTTGTTTACTGCCCACCGCTGTTGAGAAAAGATATTTTCAAGGTTCTAGTCCTCTGCAGTGCATTGTAGCTGGATTATTTTCTCAAAAGGGTGTCTTATTCAGTGGTATTGATGTTCACAGTCATGTAACTTCTCATAGCAGTCTGTTAGAGTGGTTGGTAAAAGGTGAAAGACGTGATATGGATTAGCTGCACTCACATTAAAAAAACACAATAAAAAATGATAGTATAATTAGTTAATGGCAAGCTGGACAATGGGAATGAATTTTTTACTTGCATCATTGTCAAATGTTATTACGTCAATGGCTTCAAGTATGTAAGAATAGCAAGAATTGATGGCTAACTGTCTCCAGGGAGTCTATGGGCTGAGATAATGCCTCTTAGATAAACTAATAGAGCTGCAGCTCAGAGAGCGTTTGGAGGATGAGATAGTGTAAATGTAGTTAAGTGGTGACCGCATCTTCTTTCTTCTTCTATCTCCCTTTTATTATTTGATTTGGTTTGTTTTGTAGGTTTTTTCTTTCTCCTGTGGACTCTCGTCATGATCGAAACAATTTCTACCTTCGCATCAATAATATGTTCAGATAAAGGTCACTTACAAACGTACTTAAGGTCCATCTTGTGCAGCCGGTAGATTGTAAAAACAGATTCACCTCTTTTGTAAAGTGACAAATTGGTTATTTAGATGATTGTGATTTTTTCTTGTTACTGCGGTCCATCTCGGGTTTATTAATAGGTCCACATTGTTGCAACCCCTATCTCTTAAATTAGCGAACCAACAGGCGACACTTTGACATTTCAAACAAATGTCCATGCCCCCACCCTGTCACACATAAAAGCACGCACACACATCCAGAGATTATTCTTGCCTCCAACAGGTCAGGACCCTGCAATGAACTTTGAGCTCCATTTGAACACCAGTAAAAGATGACCAGGGTCGGAGGAGGGGGTTTCCATCATAGTGATTTGTTCTGTTCAGCAGAGGTCCTCACGCTGCTCTGTTAGGTTGCTCTGAGGCTGCCTGAGGACGCTCTGGCAGCACTGAAGGCTCTTAGAGGAGAACCTTCATGTGATTGATGACAGCTGAACCTGCCTGCAGTGATGTTAACCGTTCTGACCGGCATTACAATGCTGCTCGTTGTAGTGCTTTCAGTCCTTGTTAGCGTACACTATCTATCAACTATCGCTGCTGTAGACTATTTAATAATTTGCCCCAAAATTTGAAATGCCCATCCCACACCTCATTGACCAGCAGGACCTTTGCATTACACTGTAACTGTTTCGGTCAATTAACAGGGCAATGTCTGTCATGTGGTACCAGATATGTCAGTTTGACTTCGAGTGGACCCCTGTGGTTCTTCCAGCCCATTTATCAACAAATCCTGACACACATACTGGGCCTCTAATGGCCGTGCTCAGACCCTGAGGGCTCTGTACAGCACATGATGAGATCAGACTGCCCCGTATCGGCCAATTTGTTGACAGATATGTTGTCAGACCAGCCTGGGAGCAACAGCAGGGCAAAAATCATGCTGCCTAGTCTTTTGGATTCATAACAGTGCCACTGATGTACACGTGAACGTATACTGTGTGATGCACATCAGATACCTACATCTATACAGTGTGCGTTTTGCAAATCATACATTTTAAGCTTGCAGCTCAGTTCAGCAATGCTCACATATACATTTCAACATTTATTTTTCAGTCATGCTGTCGCAGATCGTGCAGTTATCAGGCCTCACTCTCTAGTTTCTCATCTCTAGCCCGTCAGCTACCCAGAAAACCACACTCACATAGCGACAACCTTGGGAACTCCTGCACCAAATGAGATAATTAAAGGTTTACTGCTGCGCTCTCTTCTGAATAACCCCTCACCAACGCACACATGTTCTGATCCTGTTGTACACACAGCTGCATCAGTGCAGTGGTAATGACAGTGTACCACTCTGCAGCTTATCATATAACCCGTAAAGTGGGAAAGTGCAGCGGTTGCCAGTTCATGTGGTGTTTAAAAGAGTACATACCATCGCTGTGAACTGTCTGCACCTGGTAATATGTTATTATATATTAATATGTTTACAATTAGGTTTTTGCTCTCAAATGGCTGCGGTGACGCCCAAACCGCCCAAACCATTTTTATTTCTGCTTTATTCTTTATGTTTGATTTTTTTGTCATGCAAACGACATGGTTATAGGGAGACCAATGTCCGTCTGTTGGTCGGTCATCCACCACTTTAGTCCAGACTAAAATATCTCAACTGTTAGATGGATTCCTTTGTGAAGTTCATACTGACATTCATGGTCCCCAGAGGGCACCACTGACTTTGATACTTTCCATTTCCTCTAGTGCCAGCATGAGGTTGACATTTGTGGTTTCACATGAAATTTGTAAACAATTATTACATGGATTGTCATGAAATTTATATATATGTATATTCATGGTGCCCAGATGAATAATCCTACTAACTTTGATTATCCTCTGACTTTTCTTCTAGCGCAACCAGTAGTCAAAGTTGTATCCTAAATTTTGTGCAGATATTCATGGCTCCCATGGGACAAATCACACTGAATTTGAATGAGACTGAAACGTCTCAAAAACTATTGGATGGTAAAATTTGTCACAGACATTAATGTTCCCCTCAAGATGAGTTGTAATAAGTTTGATGATCCATTAAAGGGATACTTTGCCAATTTTCAACTAGCTTTGTTTCATAACAATGTGGGAAGTAAGTAAGTGTAAATGAACTGTGGTAAACTTCCCTTGATCTTACCAGCACCAAAGACCACCTTGCTCATCTCTAAGCTTAAATCCAATGGACGATGCAAATCAATTTCAGCATATTTGAGCTCGCTCTAGGGTTGCTCCTCAAGCTACAGATGTACTTCCTCATTTTTGTATGTCTGCCACCATGGCAACCAAGAGTATAGAAGCAGATCAAGACCCACCCCTCCCTCTTGCTCTTTCAAACTAAATAAAAACCATACTGCATTGCCTATTTCCTGTCTCAAATGTTTTAAGGAAGATATTTAAGCCTACCACGTCACTGTAATTAGAGATTGTTTGTTACCAGCTGGTCGCTATGTTGTTTCCTGTGGAAAAACAGCCAAGCTCGCATTATGTCACCCACCAGCAGGAGTGTTTATTGGCCTGGTGCAGTACAGTGCATTCTGGTAGTTGTAGGTCTTCTACCTCTTTAGCAAAAGCAGATATAACAGCCCTTTTCCTCTGTTTTCTATGGTCATATAACACCAATTTCAAAAGGATGTGTGTCTTTCTACTGCATAAACAGGCCAGTTAAATGAAAAGACCGTTTTTCCAGCAGTGAGATAGTTCTTTAACTTTTTACCATCATTTTTTTTTATCATCAGGTCATGTACAGTCTGTGTGCAGATTTGCAGATGATATTGATCTTAAAATAAACAATTAATAAACCTTGAAGTTTGCTAAATTATTAAATGTATTTCTTTAGCTTTGTTTTAAAGTAAAATTAACTTATATACAAGCTTTTCAGGGACAAAGAACATGCACAGAAATGACATCACATGACGTCATGCATTGCTTGTGTTTTTTCATTTACCTTTCTTAGTTGTAGATTTGCAGCAGCAGTGAATCTGCAAGCTTTTTCCTGCAGATGAGGCATTCTGGCATATTAAACAGTGATTTCAAGGTTTATTGCTTTATTTCCAATGAATGATTTATTGAAGTGTTGGAAATCTCAATTTCCTGCTCACTTTTGAGAGTTTACTATGGAGGGAGTTGTAAGTGAGTAAAGGGAGGGAATAATTGCAGACACAGCTGTTGTCAGAGTTTTAGGTCTGCTGTCATAATGATGGGAGATACAGAGATTACAAGGCCATGTGCCCCTGGTCATCTTATTCATTTGCTTATTTTGAATTTGCACTTCAATCATAATGCTTAGCAAATACTAAATTCTCATTTGGATAGCAGACACACCAGCTTCAGTAATGGCTGCACTGGCCTTGATTCAGACGTGAGGATTATTCTAAATTTGAGCATCCTCCTGGATTCTGCATGTGACCAACAGTTCTTTTGATTCACGTCATCACTGTAACTATTAATACCTTAGCATCACACTGTGTAAAACATGTGACTCTTTAAATAGACTGGTTTTGTTTTGAATTTAAAGTGAGCATTTTTATGTTTCTCCCTCCCCACTAGCTGGTGAAGCTGTGCAGTGGCATGATCGAGGCTGGCAGGGCCTACGTCAGCGCCAACAAGCTCTTTGTCAACGGCATCAAGGACCTGTCACAGCAGTGCAAGAAAGAGGAGACGATATCGGTGAGTGGAGGTCACTCTGTCCTTAAAACTGACCTTAAAATCTGTAAATTCACTGAGGAATGTGTGAGACTCAGAGTCTCAACAATCGACCACTCATCTATCTTTATGAGTGCATTCCTGTGATTCCCCACATGAATAATAACAGTAGAGCAGTATAAACAGTATTGTCCAGACATAGAGTCATCCAGCTGTTTTAAACATGACAGATGTGACCACATGCAGACAGGAGATGTTTATGCTGATAGTTTACATGGCTTGAAGCGGAGACATCTGAAACCTTCTTTATGGTTTTCTTTGAGGAAAACATTTGGACTCGATTTCCTGTTGGTACGGGTGTCGCCCTGGTAGCTTTGGGTGAAGCAGTACAGACATAATTGTTTTACAGTCAATAACCATTCAATGTTAGGCTTATTTTATACAAAAAACAGGTCTGGATCATGTTTTGTCGATAGTTTAGAGTGTTTTTAGGGATTTAATATTATTTTTGTTGTGAAGAAGAAGTTTATGTTCATATGGAAACCTGTGTGTTTACATTACGTGTGCATGTGTCGTCAACATTTCAGGAATGCCTTGAAAAGTGTGGAGAAAGCCTCCAGGAGATCGTCAACTACCACATGGTAGGACACACACACACACACATACACACACTAGTTTTAGCCACAGGCGAGAGGTCGAAGTAGAGTGTTGTTCCGACACGCCTAGGTCCTCTCGGCACGTTAACTTCTTTCAGACATCCAGTCCCTCTTGGGTCCAGTGTTGCACAACACACACACACACACACACACACACACTTACACTGAATTTAACTGTGACCTCACTCTGTGACGGTGAATCTGTTCACACAGGCCAGTCCACATGCGTGTTTCTGATTCAAACCACATGCTTCACCAGATGTGTACAGCAGCTTTAAGGCACAAACATTCACACTCATACACACACACATATACAGGTTTTATTCAAATGACTCTCTCCTCATGACTAAGTATGATTAAGAAATGTCCTTTTCTGGGAATCCCCGACAGGTTTGTGAGGAATGAAGGCAGTTCTATAGTTAAAGAGAGCAATTATGGCATGATAAATAGTTGAAAGTCATACACATTTACAGCGAGATGCTAAGGTGTCTTTTTGTCATGCTGTATAGTGGTATTTGCCTGTCCATGTCTGTGCATGATTGTATGTGTGTGAACAAAATGGGCAGAGAGAAAGGTAAAACTGGGATTTGTAACACTGACACAGGACGTGAGGGAGAGAGGGAAGTGAGCTGGAGAAAAGAGAAAGCTGTGGGAGGAAAGATGTGGAGACAGGAATGAGGAGAAAAGATTAGAAAAAGAGGCAGCTGCAGGACACAACAATCAAGTTTTCCTTCTCATACACATTTTTCATGAACCATTTTTAGTGGCAAGACTTCATTTTGGTCTCCTCACAAATTTCAGTTGAAGTTTAGAGTTAAAATTTTCTATGTTTGACATGAAGACTTAGAAGATCTATATCCTTCATATACAGCATGACTTAGATAATCAGGTTTTTTTAACCCTCTTATATTAATGCTGGTTGGAATCTGTTTTTTTTTTTGGTTGTTTTCGCTGATTATAAAAAGTTGCTATGTCCCATCTTTCTGCTTGACTGTGACTTCTACAGGCTGTTGTGCTGTGGGTTTATTTAAGGGCGCTTATCAGTAAATCTTCCCGTTTTCACCTCTGTATTGTGCTTTGACCTTGTCAGAGACTCTAACCCTCCCCTTGTTGCTTTTATAATTGCACTGCCTGCTGCTTCTGCTACATTATCTAAATACATTAATATGCAACAATATTTTGTCATGCTGCCTGTTGCACTCTGAAGGCCCTATTTAAATGATTTATAGTGCATAATCTAAAGTGCATAGCACAAGTGCATTTAGTGCATATTTAATGCACTTTGGCTAGTTAAACAGCTCATAATCTGCACGCAAAGTTAGACCCAAGGGGCAAAGGGGTTGTTTTCACTCCCTTTATTAATCATAGGTGTATTTCAGGCATAATATAAATTAAAACATTCAGAGTTTCATCTCCCATTCCTTTTAAAGGCCCAGATAAACCAAACCAACTTTAGAAAACTAGTGGCAACGAAAGATGATTGTTGCATCGCCTCACGTTGCCAGTGTGTCGGCCAAAAAGTTGCACATGAACACACCGCAAAGACTACAGCCAACTAGCATTTGTGATTGAAAAAGGGAAACCAGAAGACCACTAGTTAGCCAGTTAGCATATTAACAACACAATCTAATGTTGAAAGAACAGAGCATATTTATCGTGCACCAGTGAGCAATAAAACAATCCATCACAAAATGTTTCTGCTAAGGAGCTCAATGGCTAAAGAAAAATAATCTTACCTTATGTAACAAGTTTGTTTTGGTCTCACTCCCTCTTGACTTTAGCTACTTTCCTCACTTCTGAACTGCCAGTCAGAGTGATTTCATTCACTGACCGGCTCTGCCGGCTCTGAGCATGCTAAATCGGCCAAAACAAAGCTTCCAGAGGCAAACGAGGGCCAACGGTGCGGGACACACCACATTGACTAGGGCAACAGACACTCCCCAAAAGCCCAACATTGACCAACGGCAAACCGTCACCTTGGTGTGACAGGGCCTTAAAAGCCACATGCACACCTGGCACCCTGTTCTTTTTTTCCTACATTTTACATTAATGCCCCCACACTTCACTGACTCTGTTTCACTCCACCTAAGTCAAGCCTGTTTAACTCCCACTACCATTAAACAGCTTCTGGCCATGCTGATAAGCTACTTTCTGTGTTGTTTTTTTCCACCACCTGTTTCTTTTTCTCTGCTCATCCACCCCTACCACCTCTCCATCCATCCCCCCACTCACTTACCCTTCACCACAGGCGTCCCACTCCTCCTCTATAACACCCAGGAATTACACTAATAGCTCATCTGGCAGACAGTATGAATGAATGGATGGAGGGAGGGGAGGGAAAGACACAACGAAAGGAAATCTGTCTTTGTTCGACCACCCACTGATGCCTGTTTCTGCACCTTCTCTGCTCTTGTCAGACACAAAAGGAGCCATTCAAACAAGAAAATGAATCTCCTAGTAAATCACACAATAAGAAAATGTGTGTTCTTTTAAACATACAGAATTCCTACCCTTAAATTCAACAGACTCAAAATGACATCACAGTGGATTAGTGTGATATTGTAATGTACTCAGTTAAATTCAGGGCAAATTTCTCTCCTGTGGTGGAATTTTTCTTGCAAAATGAACACACCAGTTTGCATCTCTGCAGTTCTTGTGCAGAATAGATACAGGAGAGATGACTGATGGGACTTCTACAGCAGCAGCTGAGATGTTTGGGGAAAAGAGTGCTGGGAAATGGAGTGTAGACATGCTGTAGTTTGGGTTGGGTCACACCCAGGGCACCATAATCCAGAGCAGGTTTGGGTGGAACATTTGGATGAGTTTAAATGTGGATCCAAAATCAATCTGATGGAATTGATTTAAATGTTTTTTCTTGGATTTAATTCTTTTCTTTGGCACTGGCAGATAGGTTGTACCACCCTGGAAAGTACCAAACTTTCATTTTACACTGCACACACTGTCTTCATTACTTAGACACATTTAGCATCGTTATAGTGAAACCAACTGGGAATTTGTTAAAGAGCAGGGAGTGTCCATTGCTGTTGGCCATCTTTAATAAATGTGATAATAAAAAGCAACCCTCTGGGTGATGAAACAGGTGTTTTTAACATACTTACAAATACATAAAAGGGTAACACTTTCTGGAAATTACCGCTTCATTTAAACCCAAGTAAATATTTATATAGTTTTTATTATGATTGGAAAATTGATTCTTTTTTTGTGTTGAATTTTACATAGATAATGAATGAATGAATGAATGTTCAGTTTAAGGGGCTCTGTGCAAAATTCAGTGTATGAATAATCTGTATACATTTCTCAACATGAAGGGGGCTGAGCTAGAAGTTAGCAGCAAAAAATGCTAACACCATAAACAGCAGTAAACAACGACAAACGATGTTAACCAGGGGGAAACCGTAGCGTGGGCGCTAGGGGGACACCATCCTAACAGGGGCAGGGCAGTGCAAAGCTGCAGCGATGAGCTAGCCAGTAGGATACACACATGCATTAACATACACATGCGGCTGGACATTCTCATCAAAACAAACCACAGAGAAGCTTGGATTACAACACACACTGAGGGTGCATCATTTCATTCTCTGCTTAAGACGCCATTACTCCACTATATCTTTACATTGCAAGTAGTGTTTTGCTGCTATATTAATGCTCTGAATGTCACATACAGAACCTTTAATCTACTAACTAAAAGAATCTACATTATGCTATTTTAGCATTTAATTGTTATTCATTAGTTGAAGTGTACAAATTGAACAGTGTCTTTATTTATCTTACTTTACTTTTTGATTTGTGCCATGGTTCTTTAGGGGAAACATCCAAGGGTACAAACCTTTACCAATCATAGGGCATATTTTTGTCAGGTGTTGACATGAGTAATAGAGGATAGAAGAAATGGATCTTTGCTGATATAACCGTGGGGTTGCATGAGTTGTGAACTGTTAAATGTGAACTATATTATAACTTTGGCCTCCTTATATTGATAACATATTGCACGGCAAAGAATAGATAGGAATTTTAGAAAAGGAGTGTGGCAGCCTTCTAAAACGAAACATTTAAAGAGGAGCAGCAGGTGAGTTACATACTCCCACATTAAGTAGAGTGTACACCGGTGAAAATGAGTAAAGCAAGAGACAAGAGCACCAGCCTGTAAAGTTATCAGGCTCTGCAGAACATCATATGGATTGACACACACACACACACACACACACACACACACACACACACACACTAAGCCTGTAATCCTCAGTGTGTATGTTTATTAACTAGAGATTGCTATAGAAAGTTTAATCCACAGGCTATCCACAGTGATTGTATACATACAGTTTGTGTATGTGGGTATGAAACAATCACAGTCTAATCCAAGGGCACTGGTGCATTTGTGTGTGTGTGTGTGTGTGTGTGTGTGTGTGTGTGTGTGTGTGTGTGTGTGTGTGTGTGTTGCGTGGGCATTGAAGCGTTCACTCAAGTATTCTCGCTGTCTCTGCACACAGATAAATCAGCGAGACATACATATTTCCTTAACAACGATGGATGGGCAGCCATTCTTTGTTCACTGTATTTGGAGTGTGGTCACAAATATAGAAATGGAAGAGAAATCCTCATCTTTGCTCACCATGCACAAGAAATAGCGGGAAAAACATAGGAGAGGAAGGGGAGGAGAGCTGAAGGAGCGTGAGATGAGGGAAAGAAGAAGTAGGAAGAGAAGAAGTGGTGGAAATCCCACAGTTAACAGGAAGCGTAATCTGGGATCCTTTAAGGCTAAAAATCTGTCGAGGCAGCAGCTGAGTGAGTGCACATGTGTGTATGTCCTCATCTGTGTTTCCTTTCCCCTCCTCTGCCTGTGGCATATTCTGGTACAGTGATGAAGTGAGAGGGCTCATGTTGCCATCTTGTGGTGGGATGTAGCACCTACAGGTCTGCAGAGTAAATCCAGACATCACACTTCTTCAGCCAGTTCTCTAACTGCGGTGCACTGACTGGAGCTCATGCTACAATATTAAATGCTCATGTTTCACACCTGTGTTATCTACTCTATGCACAGATATTGTTTGACCAGGCTCAGAGGTCCATCAAGCAGCAGCTTCACACCTTCATTAAAGAGTAAGTGTGTTATCACAATATAGCTTCCTGATGCTGTTATGAAGAAAGATGTAAAACAGTTTTGGCCTGTAATAACACGAATCATGAATTTCCTGCAAACACACCCATCTGCTCTTGTGATATGGCACAGACATAAACTTTCTGTTTCTCTTTTACTGCACCTCCCTCAGGGATGTCCGTAAATTCAAGGACACTAAGAAGCAGTTTGACCGGGTGCGTGAGGACATGGAGCTGGCCCAGGTGAAAAACGCCCAGGCACCCAGGAACAAGGTGCACGAGGCTGAAGAGGCCACACAGGCTCTCATCCTCAGCCGCAAAGCCTTCAGGCACTTGGCACTGGACTATGTACTACAGGTAAAACACACATACACACACTTACACACACACAAACTCCAGACTGTATTACCAGTGTTGTCCAGTAGGTGGCGCTAGCACTCAACAGCTGCTTATCCCATTTAGACACACACACTCTCAGTGCTCTTTGTTGCATAAAAAAAGGAGACACTTGCAACTATGGTTTTGAAAAATAACTAAATTTAGACAGCTTATGTTCTATATTTTGCTTCTGTTTCAGATTAATGTGCTTCAAGCCAAGAAGAAGTTTGAAATCCTGGATGCCGTGAGTAGCCCAAATATATCAGCTCTAAATTTCTGACTGGCATTATTATTTATGTTTTGAATATGTGTGTTAAACATGTACATGTGGAGTCCCTGTGGTGTGAGAAGCATTAGTAACACAGCTACATTACAGCCATCATTGTGTCTGTGTGTCTCCTGCAGATGCTGTCCTTCATGCGCGCCCAGTACACTCTGTTCCAGCAAGGTTTTAACATCTTGGATGAGATTGACCCCTACATGAAAAAGCTGGCTGCACAGGTAAAATGAAACTAATGAATTGAAATCTCAGACAGGATGGAAATACATGTGCACTGTGACATTACTTTTGTGTTTGTATTTGCATCCCCTTATTAACATTGATCAGCACGGTCTGGTTTTCATTCTCGATTTAACTGTTCAGGTCTTGTCTGTGGTAGTGGAGTGTTAGATTTTTGTTTTATTAAATGCGTATGATGTCTCACAGCAGAAACTGTGACTTGATGTTGCATTTATATTTTAGGTTTTGGTTGTTTATTGAGGTTTGTTTAGTCACAGAAAAATAAAAATGTCTATATCTTAGGACTGTCCCCATCTATCTAGTCATTTAGAAACATTTAGGTCTTGAATGTACAGAAATACAGTAAATATATTTGTTATTTTAAGACTGCAATATAATAATTACAAGGTAACACTGAAGACAATGTCATGGTGACGAGGTTGATTAACAGTTTTAATGTGTCAGAATGTATGTCTGTGTGTTTCATGGACTCTTTCACTGATTCTGCTGTTATATGTTCCATGCAGCTGGATCAGCTGGTCATCGACTCTGCAATGGAGAAGAGAGAGCTGGAGCACAAACACGCCCTCATCCAGCAGAGAGTGAGACAACAACACAACTTTCAACTTCTTGCACACACTGCCTTAAAGGGACAGTTCACCCCCAAAATCAAAAATACATATTTTTCCTCTGACCTGTAGTGCTATAAATCAATCTAGATTGTTTTTGTGTGAGCTGCTGAGGGTTGGAGATATCGGCCATAGATGTATTTGCCTTCTCTCGACTATAATGAAACTCGATTGCACTGGGCTTGAATACATGAAAAACTCAACAACAACTTTTCTCTCCCAGTGAGTCAAAATAATCCACATACCTTGTTGTGAACAGTTTCATATAGGAACTAATTTCTTTGTACCGGACTACACCCATCACCCGTATTACAGTGCAGAAGGAAGCGTGTAGCATGCTGTTAAGTTTTTCAAGTGTGCTTTTTTGGCTCTTTGAGCACCACAAGGAAAGTGCATCTAGTTTCATTATATTGGAGAGAAGGCAGACATGTCTATGGCCCATATCTCTAACACTCACTATAAACTCAGCTCACACCAAAACTATCTAGACTGATAGATAGCACTACAGGTAAGAGGAGAAATATGTATTTTTGATTTTTGGGTGAACTGTCCCTTTAAAACTTTGTACATTTTGTAGTTTTGATGAATGCATTACAAAAAACTAGAGCAAGCATTCATTAATTTGCAAAACCCGTCGACAAGAATTTGTCGAGCTACAGCAAGTTTTTGTTCTTCTGCATTTATTCTTTTCAAAACCAGGTTAATGTAGAGTCTGTCAATACTGGACATGATTAATGCTTACACGTATAAACTCTGCTGACCTTGCCTCGAATCACAGGTTGTCCTTTTATAGTCACTGAATATCAGTTTGTTGTTTTTTATAAAATGTAATGTTTGTAGTATTATACGACTAGGTGTCACAGTGATGTTTTTATGATTGTTATGCTTCCAAAGAGGTTGCTGAACTGGATTTTTCTCACAAAAGTCCTATCAACATTTTTCACCCTCACTTAGTGTGATGGCTTCCTCCTGATTCAGTAGAAGAAGCTCAACAAAAAAGATGGAGTTATAAAACATATTTATCTCTGTCAGTCTGGAATCTAAAATGGTTCTTGTCACAACAAACACATATCTTGTGTTAGCATCAGATGCCTTGAATGTTTGGGACAAAAAGCTTTCCGTGGAAGTGTTGAATTATTTTTACTCTGTCGGTTGCGTGACTTGAGCTGCTGTCTATTCCTTTTTCTTTATTTTTTTTTACCACAGAGGCACAAACAAGCTTTAATTAGAACAAGTTCATGAGTGAATGTAGCTTTTTTTTCTTCTTTCAAATTAAGAGTTTCAAGTTGGAAAGCAGCTCCCACAAATTTTTATTTTATGGCTCCCTCGGCTGAATGAAAACAATCCTTTCAAACCCTCACCCTGCTCAACAGTCAGTCATGCACAGATGCACAAAAATTCTTCCATCTGTTACCTGAAGAGATGCCAAAAACATGGCTGTTTTTCTGCCGAACTTGGCCCTTCCCTCTGATTGATTTAGTTGCCAAATGGAGGCATCCTGCCAGACACAGTACGCAGCTCTGTGCCTGACCTAGTGGCCTTACTGCAACACTTCCTCCTCACTGAGTGATGCTTATTGACTTTAATTTGATCATTTTATACTTACACAACAAGGTGAACATGCCTCATGTCTAGCTAAAAATGACTCTGTCTCTAACGGGATGAAGAAGAACTACTTCCTGTGTGTTTTAGGAGAGGACTCTGAACTAATAGCTAATCACTACTTATGTACAAAGACTGTCTGGATTACACACAACAGTCTAACATATTTGGCTTCATGTAGGGAATTCAAGCAGTGGTGATCTTGCATTAACACCTTTTATCTCTCTTTATCTCACCTCACCTGCCTCCTGCCTGACCACGTTCTTCCTCCAGACACTGATGCAGGTGAGTTCATATTTTTCTGAACCCTAATGTGGTGACTTGACTTGACACTGAGGGGCTGCTACACTAATAACTGCCCTATTAACGTGTCGCCTTTGTGTAGCATGTCGGAGGAATATTTGTGCATCATCAGGCCCATACACAATTTAGACGGCAATCTGCACACACTTGTATGCAATAAAAATTTGCATGTTAACACAGAAATGGCACAGTGCCACACTACACATGACGGTTAAAAACCTGTGTGCTTCTCCTGGTAAACAACATTCTCTGCATGCTTACTTTCACATAACTCCACCTACCACCTACTGTGCAAAGAGGGAGCTACCCAGGGGCGTAAATATAAGACAGTGCAGGCAGAGTGATTGCACTGGGGCCCGTGGGGTGGAGTTGGGACCCTTGCAAATGATTCAGACTGCCACCTCAGAACTACACCTGTGAACCTGTGTTCAAAGAAGAACTCACATTAAATTTAAAATGGTGCCATTTGCTATAGGCTACATGCCCTAAAAAGTGCATACCCATCTCTGTCATGATTTTATGTAAAAGAACTATAAAACTATAAAAAACAATTCAATTAAATGAATCATTTCTTATATTCTTTGAAATTTTTGTCATATACAGGTATTGCGATTGGTGGGTAACTTATGTTGATGATGGTAGTTTCTATTTGAGTATGTTACAAGATGATACAATCCAGTAGCTAGTTTAGATGCAAAATCTGTCAGGACTGACAAGCTGAGCACATCTGCAACTCCAGCGTACAGTCATGCCTGTTAAACATAAAAGCAGCAGTAAGAAAGAACAAGAGAGAGACGAACAGGAGGCAAACGTAGCAGAGCTCCCTAAATTAGATTCCTTTGTCTTTTTTTTTTTTTATGAACAGTTGCCAGTGTTGTGTACGCCTTATAATTAATAACTAGCATGCACTTGGGCGCGACACAATAGTGTGCACTTGAGCCCGTGGTAATTACTTTATGCCAGTGGAACTACCATAGGTGAACTCATACTACTGCATGTACAGACACATACTAATGAACACAACATGAAAACAGCTGGTCCATGACCTGCACATTACATGCTCTGCACTGCAATGCAAAACATTCAAATATGAAAATACTGTCAGGTTTTGAATTGTGTAACATTCCAGGAGCAGTGACGCCCGCAGAAATGGCTGGGCCCCTGAAAAGGTTGAGTAAATGGGCCCTCCCCAGTTCTGTTTTATTCATATAAACACATGCACATTTCTCTGGTCCTGTGTTCAGGTGCCTGCAGTTTTTTTTTGTTTTTTTTTTCTAGCAGTTGCTGGTTTTCTACATGAAACAGGCTACATTAAGCATAACAATAAATATAATGTATATTTTTGTTTTAAACCTCCACCCCAAGCAGATGGACCCCAGAAAGAAGCCTGCTTTTCCACCCTTATGGCTGACTGTGTTTTAGGACATCTGGCCTGGGTTGTTTACCTGGCCTATGTTGGCAGTAATGTTGGGTTTCTTTTAAGAGGATTGGATTTTCAGATGTTGTCCATGAAATTAGTATCTGAGCTCGGTTGTTTACAGAGATCACAATATATGCAAACATGCAGCAGTCTTGGTTCTTTAGCAGTGTAGAACGAATTGAGTGACTGTTGTATTAAGAGCAGTTTTATGATTTATGATCATGACATGCAGGTATCAAGAGGCCGTTTGAAGCTGTAGTGCAGACAGTATGTGTGTGTGTGTGTGTGTGTGTGTGTGTGTGTGTGTGTATGAAGCAATCCCTTCCTCTGTTATAGCATGAATGTGTGTGTGTGCAGGGGTGGTATGTTGCCTGGAAGCATCAAAACATTGTCCGTGAATGCTGCTTTGTGCTGTTGTGTATCTTTATGCTTCCACTGTATTTCCGTGTGTATCCGCGGGTTGTGTGTTCACGAGGCACTATCAACATGTTTGTGCACGGTGGTCAGATGCTTTTGTTTGGGTTTGTTTTCCATTGAGTAACCTCGTGTGTGTCTGTTGACCTCACTGAAACTCGTGTGTTTCATCACGTCATGATCTCGGCTCCCCAGACATTGCCACTTTTTCCCACCCTGCCTACAATATCCATCCGAGGGACTTTCATGGTACAAACCCTGCAAGCGTATATTTGTCTCTCGTTTGATGTCTTTGTTCTCTTGGTCTAGATCTCTCAGCTTCCTCCTTCATTTTTCTGTTTTTCTCCATCCTTTACATGCACACGTCCATGAAGGCAAACACACACATTCCTTTGTTTCTCAGAAATGCACATACAAACACACTCTTTGAAGAGTACAGCTCTCCCAGATATCCTACTGCTATTTTGTGCTGTTCCAATTTGCTTCATCTGAAGAATTAACCCCGAGGATTTGTCAACATGTCAGCAAGCCTGTGAAGAAGATAGAATTGTCAAAGTAGAAGCTTAAAAATAGTTTCCTAGCTGTGACGTGTGCTCAAGCAATATTTTCCATTACTGTCTGTTTTGTTCTCTCTGAAACTGAATCGATTGTAGATTTTCTTAATCGTATTTTAAGTTGCAGTAGTTCTTGTGATGGATGACATTTTTATCTCCTCTACTTTCTGTCTAGACTTTTAAATCCCCTTCTGTTCTTTCCTCCTGATCTCATTTAATGCTGATCAATTAATCAATATATCACACTCCGGCATGCAGTGTGTCTGTTTTACAGTACAATTGCAACTATACAGTCAGGAATAATCCAGGCAGGGCAGGACATAGGACATTCAGTGCCCTGGACAAGTTCTCCATCCAAGAGCTAATAAGAAAACAACACAAATAAAAAACTTAGTCAGCAAATAATAATAATAAATATACAATAAATGAATAAATGCACATTTGCATTTAAGTGAAAATATCTTACACATGTTAATGATCAAAATATAATTTGCAAAATAAATAAATAGTCACATCTGACTGTGACAATCACTCACTGATGAACACCTTACAGATGCAGTTGCTAACTTCTGTGAAAATAACTTTGTGGCATATTTGCTAAAGCCGTCACTATATTTTCAAAGAAGTACATAAGACAGATAGTCTGTAAAAAAAAATCATGTCCCTCTTCCTCTTCCTGCTGCTTCTAATGGCATTGGCAAGAATCAGACCATGGTGCACTGAAAACAACCAGTCAGAGCCAAAGAGTTCCTCATACAGCTGTCAATCACATCAATCACTGCTTGTGAAACGAAGCCAAACTAGGCACTCATTCACTCATTCATTTTCCATAACCACTTATCCTGTTAGGGGTCACGTTTGGGATGCAGTCTATCCCAGCTGACAATGGGCGAGAGGGAGGGTACACCCTGGACAGGTCGCCAGACTATCACAGGACTGACACATAGAGACATAGAACCATTCACACTCACATTCACAGCTATGGCCAATTTAGAGTCACCAGTTAACCTGCATGTCTTTGGACTGTGGGAGGAAGCCGGAGTACCTGGAGAAACTTGGGGAAAACAAGATACCCCCACTACAGGCTGACCGTTATGCTTTGTGTGGAGATTTTACTGTAGCACTTCACATTTTCTGTGCATTTCTTAAAGTAAATGGTGCTTATTATATTAGAAATTAGATATTTAAATATTTAAAACGAACCATAATGCCCCACATATTAAGTTATATTTGGTGTGGTCAAATCCAAACCCTTGTTTCAGTCAGTACATGAATAGAAATGTTCTTTGAATCTAATGAAATGAGCATGCAGAGGCAGCAGTAATATGATCTGATCACAGCTGGCTCTGATGTTGTGCACGATGCCAACCTCAACCCACTTCCTCCTGCGTGCACTGCCAGCTCCAGCCAAAGTCAACAGATGGCTTTATGGCACGCAGTAGTTGGTTGAATGAAAGACAAAGAGTCGAGGACAGATAAAGAGAGAAGAACGATGAAACAAAGGAAGAGATCAGCTTTAGATCCAAACAGGGATGAAAGAGAATAAGATGGCAGAGGGTATCTCTGTAGTGACTTCTGAATTATAACTGTCTTTGATGTAAAGAAATTAAAGTTAGTTATCTCTATTCAGTGTAAGATTTGGGATTTTTGGAAATTACATGAGCAGATTGAAGCTTCTGATTAATAGCCACGTTGTTTGTTACTTAAATGAACTTTGTTTTAAAGTGTTTTTAGTTGATGACACAAAAAGTCTCACTTTAGCTCCTTCCATTGCCTCTTTTTATGCATTTTGCAAATGGTTGTCACAATTCAGAATGGAGGTCGAACATCTTCATCTTTTAATATTACAAATTCCACTGACTAAACACCATGCTGATGACTCTCTGTGGAAATGCTGAGTCATCAGCATGGTGATGATGTGAAACCAGGCCCACAGATCTAGGCTGGACGATTATTTGAGCCAATCAGTGATGATGCATTAGAAAGTCAGACAGAAAGATATTCTTACATTGTAATTAAATCCGTAAAAAAAATCACTAAAAAGCCTGAGGAAAGAAAGAGAAGGGAAAAAGCAGGCAGCATCAAACGATCAAGGAGAAAACGTTGCCATGATCCACTTCAGATTTTCTCCCCTTCTTTTTTTAAAGCTGCCCCTGTAGTATGCAAATGCAGTGGTGCAGGAGGCAAAGCCAGGAGACAGCAGCGTTTGTGAATTATAGATGGTACACATCCTTTATTAATAGACCATTAAGTAACTGCAGTAGTCATACTTAGACGAGAATAAGATCCAGCTTCATTATGAATATAGTTGGATGTCACTTAGGGCAAAGTTGTTTTTCAGGGGAGGATGATGGATAACAGAGAGATGAAGAGGGATGTGATATGTAAACACTAAAGCTATAGATTAGAAAAACTGAAACATGATGACATCCATGAAATTCTCCTGAACGTGAAGCTGATCTTTGCAGATGTGAGGAGTTATTTTAATCATCCCATCTCTGTCCTTTCACTTCTCTCCCTCTCTTTTTTGTGTTGCTCTTTACCTCACGCCTTTACTTTCACTGTTTTTGGTAAATCTGCCTCGACTGCCACCT